GAGGGGACAAGGACAGGACAAGGAGGGGACAGCAAGGGGACAAGGAGGGGACAAGGAGGGGACAGGGGGACAGAGCACCGGGCACTCAGAGGGGCCCGTGCTGGGGAGTGGGAGCTGCCACTGGGAGCTGGGCCTGGGTGCTCGGACCAGGAACTGGGAACTGGGAGCTGGCACTGGGACCGGGAACTGGGAGCTGGGACCAGGAACTGGGAACTGGGAGCTGGGAGCTGGGACCAGGAACTGGGAACTGGGACCAGGAACTGGGAACTGGGAGCTGGGAGCTGGGACCAGGAACTGGGAGCTGGGAGCTGGGAGCTGGGACCAGGAACTGGGAACTGGGAGCTGGCACTGGGACTGGGATTGGGACTGGGAGCTGGGACTGGGGGTTGGCAGCAGGGACTGTGAGCGGTCACTGTGCGCTGGGAGCTGGCACTGGGAGCTCAGACTAGGACTGGGAGCTCAGACTGGGACTGGGGACTGGGGACTGGGAGCTCAGGCTGGGACTGGGAGCTCAGACTGGGACTGGGAGCTCAGACTGGGACTGGGGACGGGGGACTGGGGACTGCCACCAGGCACTGGGAGCGCTCAGCAGTGGCACTGGGAGCTGGCACTAGGGACTGGGAGCTCAGGCTGGGAGCTGAGACTGGGACTGGGAGCTCAGACTGGGACTGGGGACCGGGCCTGGGAGCTGGTTCTGAGAGCTGGGAACTGGGACTGGGACTGGGACTGGGCCTGGGAGCTGGGACTGGGACTGGGACTGGGACTGGGACTGGGACTGGGACTGGGAGCTGGTTCTGAGAGCTGGGACTGGGACTGGGACTGGGACTGGGACTGGGATTGGGACTGGGACTGGGAGCTGGTTCTGAGAGCTGGGAACTGGACTGGAGACTGGGAACTGGGACCAGGAGCTGGGACTGGGACTGGGACCAGGAGCTGGGCCTGGGCCTGGGACTGAGACTGGGACTGGGACTGGGACTGGGAACTGGGACTGGGAACTGGGACTGGGACTGGGAACTGGGACCGGGAACTGGGACTGGGACCAGGAGCTGGGACTGGGGCTGGGACTGGGACTGGGCCTGGGAGCTGGGACTGGGACTGGGACTGGGACTGGGACTGGNGGGAACTGGGACTGGGACCAGGAGCTGGGACTGGGGCTGGGACTGGGACTGGGCCTGGGAGCTGGGACTGGGACTGGGACTGGGACTGGGACTGGGACTGGGACTGGGAACTGGTTCTGGGAGCTGGTACTGGGAGCTGCACTGGGAGCTGGTACTGGGAGCTGGGACCAGGAACTGGGAACTGTGAGCTGGGACTGGGCCTGGGAGCTCAGACTGGGACTGGGACTGGGACTGGGACTGGGACTGGGAGCTGGGACCGGGAATGGAGACACAGGAGTGGGACTGGAACTGGGAGCTCAGACCTGGGACCGAGACTGGGAGCTGGGACTGGGAACTGGGACTGGGAACTGGGACTGGGGACTGGGAGCTGGGATCAGGAGCTGGGACTGGGGACTGGGACTGGGACTGGAGACTGGAGACTGGGACTGGGAGCTCAGACTGGAACTGGGAGCTGAGACTGGGACTGGGACTGGGACTGGGACTGGGACTGGGACTGGGACTGGGACTGGGACTGGGACTGGGAGCAGACTGGGGGCACGGGGCAGGTGGCACGGTGACCTTGCTGTGCCCAGGGCAGGTGGCAGGGTGACAGCAGGGTGACATCGGGGTGACATCGGGGTGACATCGGGGTGACAGAAAGGTGACAACAAGGTGACAGCAGGGTGACAAACAGGGTGACAGCAGGGTGACAGCAAGGCTACAGTAGGGTGACAGCAGGATGACAAACAGGGTGACAAACAGGGTGACAGCAGTGTGACATTGGGTGACATCAGGGTGACAAACAGGGTCACAGCAGGGTGACAGCAGGGTGACAAACAGGATGACAAACAGGGTGACATCAGGGTGACAAACAGGGTCACAGCAGGGTGACAGCAGGGTGACAAACAGGATGACAAACAGGGTGACATCAGGGTGAGAGGGTGACAGCAGGGTGGCATTGATGTGACATCGGGGTGACATCGGGGTGACAGGGTGACAAACAGGGTGACATCAGGGTGATGGCAGGGTGACAGGGTGACATCGGGGTGACATCAGGGTGACAGGGTGACATCAGGGTGATGGCAAGGCCACATCAGGGTGACATTGGGGTGATATTGGGGTGACAGGGTGACAGGGTGACATCGGGGTGACATCGGGGTGACATCGGGGTGACACCGGGGTGACACCGGGGTGACTCGGGCCGTGCCGGGGACAGGCCAGCGCGGCCGGGGGTCCCGGGAGGGGACTCGGGCACTTGGCCGCGCCTGGCTCGGCTCCGCCCCCTCCCGTGCCTCAGTTTCCCCCGGGATTTCTCCACCTGCTCCCGGCGCGGGACCCCCGGGGGGGGGGGGGGGGG